TATTTCTCTTGCTGCTTTTAAGATTCTTTGTCTTTAACCTGTGCCATTTTAATTCGGATGTGTTTTCAGATGGGCCTCTTTGGGACTTCCCAATTGCTGACTTGATCCTCTGATTTACCTATACTATTGTTGATTCCTTCTAGTATATTCTTCATTGCTGACTGGTTCTTTTTAATGATTTCTATATCCTTTTTAATACTTGCTATCTCTTTGGAAGTCCTAAGTTCTTGAGCATCCTTATGACCATAATTTTGAACTCCATATCTGGCAATCGCCTGCCTCCATTTCATTTGGTACTTTTTCTAAGAATTTCTCCTGTTCTTTCATTTGGGGCATGTTTCTTTGTCTCCCCATTTTGGCTGACTCTCTGTGTTTGTTTCTGGGTATTGGCTAGATCTGCTGTGTCTCCAAGTCTTTGTAAGATGGTCGTATGTAGTAGGTATCCTGTGGGTCTCAATGGTGCAGTCTCCCTAATCACCTCAGCTGGGTGCTCCAGCAATGTCCTTTGTGTGGGTTATGTGAGCCTTCCTGTTGTAGTTTAGTCTTGATTGCTGTTGGCCATCCATTGGCTGGCTGGCTGTGAGGATTAACACCAACTACAGTGTATGAGCTGATGTGTGGGGGCTGACCCCACAAAGCAGAATTCCACCCAGCATGTCTGCCAAGATCTCCCTTTGGGTGTGCCACCTGTGGAGCTAATCAGGTCATCTTGGATATGGTCTAAAGCCAGCCATCGGATGGTTTATTCTCAGGCCTCTTGGGATGGGCTCTTGTGCAGGTCCATGTGAGATGTTGTGTCTCACTGTGGGGTACCTGTTAGGAGCCACAAAGCAATCTACAGTTGGTGGCTAGCTCTGCTGGGCCTGGGTGTGTATACTGAGGCTGGCTTCCACTAGCACCAGCCTGGGGCAGGTCAGCAAGAGGTCCAGGTACCCCAAGATCCACTTCCACCTGCCTACTGGGCTCAGACAATGAAAGACCCTCTGGCAGTACATAAGTTGTGTGAGAGGCAGGTTCTGAGTCACCAAGTAGGGGCAAGTGGTATTCACTAGGCTGATGTAGATTCGAACTCTGTGCCAGTGCTAGTTCTCAGTCCACTCAGCAAAAGTATGAGTGCACACCAAGGACTTTTGTTGCAGAGTATGGTCTTAGAGATTTGTCAGGGCGGAGCCAGAAAAGTGTATCAGGCTAAAAAAGATTAAGATTTGTTCATGTGAAGGGAGGGCTCTGCACAGGAAGGGTGGCGCCAGTTGAGGCATGCAGGAAAAGCAGTTCTTGCCCTAAAGCCACACAACTCAGTCTCTCCCTGTGCACATCTCTCACATCCCTAGTCTGCTGAGACCTCCTTGAGGGCTTTCCAAGAAAGACTGCATCTCAGGTCCAGCCTGGCCACAGCCAGCAGAATCCCTGAAGGATGCCAGCTTGGCAGGGTGGGACTAGAGTGAGTCAGAAGGGTATGGATAGTACACCTCCTCAGGCTGATGTGGTGGAGGGACAATGCCTGTTGAACACATGGGAAAATTGCCCCTCATCCTAAAGCCACTCCAGTCAGTCTCTCCCTGTGTATCTTATCTCTAATACCGTGAGTCTGCCAAAACTTCCAAGAAAGTCTGCAAGGGAGCCCATGCTGGCTGCAACTAGATGATTGTTACACAGGATGCGAGCTTGGTGGGGTGAGACTACAGGGAGTCTGAAGTGTGGGGCTAGTGCATTCCCCAAGCTGATGTATGGAGAAGAGTGCTCAACACAGGAAAGATGGCATCAGTGAGCAGCTTGGCATAGGGACTCAGCACAGAGACACCAGTGGCCGTCTCTCCCGCCTTCTCCCCCAAAGTATACAGTCTAATCTCTTCCTGTATAACTCCTATCTCATCCCTCTGCCAGAGCCTAGGGTGTGCCTGCAGATGAGATTTTGTGCACTGGCCCTTAAGGAGGGCACCTAGGATTCTAGCAGTCTCCTGCCTCATCCTGGTGGACAGAATCCCTGTAGATTTTCACAGCCAGATGTTATATAGGCTCCTCTTCCTGGCAATAGTCCTTTGGGTTAGGGAGTCAGACAGAGGGTTGAGATCTCTCACTCTTCAGCAGGCACCTTTGTAGTTGAGACATCCTTCCACATTCTGAACTTCATATGGGTGTGGAGTCAGCCTACTTCACACCTCTGCCCTTCCTACCAGTCTCAGCATGGCTTCTTATGCAGATCCGTAGTTACAAGATTTTGTTCAGCTAGTCTTCAATGGGCTATTATTCATATTTACTGTTCTATAATTCAGTTATAATTCCAATTTGTTCCCGGGAGGTGGTGAGTGTAACTTCAACCTACTCCACCACCATCTTGGATCACCCTCCTCAAAAATTTCATTTTAGTTGTTAATCTAATTTATTCAATTTTCTCAAGAAAAGAGAACAGAAAGGGATTCACATTTATGTAATACTCATATAACAGTATGCAATCATAAGTTTGAAAGGCAGATTATATTGTAATAGTTCTGTCCTTCAAACTTCTAAGTAACTTGTAAAAAATAAACAAATTTAAGAATGAACATAATTATCAGTCACTACTGAAAATGCTGTTTCTTATTATACCAAGCCAAACATATATACATAGATTCTACTTTATCTAGAATTAAAATTTTAGAATAAAAAACTTCAGGTTATATAATAAAAACACTGGAAAATATTCAATAAAAAAATGTCAAAAACTTACAAACTTTATCAGAGTTTCTAACCTGGAATAACAAAGTAGTGGATTTAAAGGAGTCCAGCTTAATATACTATTTTCTTAATAAATTATTACTAAACTACTATTTGAATCATTATCACAGAGAATCAGCTATCCAATTAATTATCAGCCAACAGTCACAAATACCCCTAAATCAAGGGTATCAAACTCATTTTAACCTGGGGGGCCACATCAGCCTCGAGTTGCCTTTAAAGGACCAAATGTAATTTTAGGACTGTATACATGTAACTGCTCCTTAACATTTAACTGAGAGCTCAGCGCTGCCACCAGGTAGAAACAAGGTGCTGGGCTGGATAAAACAAGGTGGAGGGCTGGATTCGGCCTGAGGGTCTTGTGTTTGCCACCTGTGCCCAAATGAAATTCAGCTGACTAAATTCATATTCAGTGATATTTTTAAAACATGTAATATATTTTCCTCTATATCTATCCTCCCAAATATAAGTCACTTCATTCTTTCATACTTGAGCATAAATTAAAGCAGGAAAATCTTTTAAAGAAGGGATTTGCAGTACATTATTTTGTTTATCTTACAGTGCCTGGCACTATATATGAGGGATGACCCCCCAAAAACAGGAATTTATTTATAAAAAATTGTATTTTTTCTTACATGTTTAAACTTCAGTCACCTTCAGAGTACTCTCCATTTGATGCCATATACCTATCAAGACATTTTTTCCACTGCTCAAACAATTTGAACTCATTGAGTTTGATGTCTTTTAGGGCTTCTGCCATTTTTTGTTTCACTTCTTCCACATAAGCAAAACATTTTCCTTTGAAGACTTTTTTCATCCAGGAAAACAAAAAAAGTTGCTCAGGGTGACAGTGGATGAATACAGAGGGTGGGGCATGGGGGTCATGTCATTTTTGGTCAAAAACTGCTGAACACTCAGTACAGTGTGGGTGGGTATACTTGTAAATCACCCATCACGTAATGGGCAAATGCACTTAAAGTCTTCAAAAAAATTCACAGAAGCTGAACACAGTCCCTCACAACGCCAGCTGGTACACTGATACAGATGGATTCCTAGAACACTCACCTATTGGGGAAGCCTGTACTACAGGGGGCCTGCCCTCAAGAAGATAATTCCAGGGTTTTTGGGGGTCCCCCCTAGTAAAATACCATTATAAATGTTCAGTAAATATCCATGGCTTGTGGATAACCATAGCTCTTTTAAAACAACGTACTCTGGATATTTGTTTTAACAGATTTTGTCTTCTCATAGTTTGCTTAAATAGCCTCCTGTTGGCCACACAAATACTAGAGTAATATATCTCTAAAACGCAGCTTAGGGCTCATCACTCTCTTCCTTCAATGGCTTCCCAATGCCTATTCTTCTTCGTCTGAATAAGTTATACTAATGCTTCAAAGCCCAAGTTAGTTATTCCCTTCCATAACTCCCTTAGTCTGGAGGCACCTTTCCTGCAGTGTTCTCATACGCCCAGAGTTTAGTTACCATAGACACTATAATGTATTTTAATTGTCTGTTAAGTTGCACATTTCCCATCTAGATCAGTGCTTTTCAAACATTCTGGTCTCAGAATCTTTACATATCATTAAAAATTATTTAATTCTGATGATCCTTTGTGTGTGTAGAGCACATCTATTAATATGTATCATCAGAAATTAAAAACCTGAGAATTTTTAAAATATTAATTATTTTAAAGTGACAATAAATCCATTACTTGTTAATGTAAATTACATATTATGAAAAATAACTGATTTTCTAAATCAAAAATTGAATAAGAGTGCATTTTTTAAACATTTTTGCAAATGGCTTTAATGGAGAATAGCTAGATTTTCATATCTGCTTTTGTTTCTCATCTATTATATCCCACATGTCTTGTAGCCTATGAAAAACTCTGCTGTACACTTTAAGAAAATGAGAGTGGAAAAGGTAAGTAATGTCTTAACATTGTTATGAAAATAGTTTAGCCCTTGCAGACCTTTTGAAAGGATCTTAAAGACCCCACGTACACCAGACCAAATCTCTAGAATCTTTGTTAAATTCCTTGAGAACCATGCATTCCTTTTCTTTGTATCCCCAGAACCTGAACTGGTACACAGTTCATAACAAGTATACTATAAGTGCTTTTTGAGTGCAAGAACAAATGGAGAAATAATGTGGATGAGCAGATGATTATAAATAAATTCAGGTTGCCTTCAAGTCCATTCACTGAGAATTTCCAAAGTATTAATCTACACAAAGTTCAAAAAGGAAATAGAATAGTTTTGAGACAGTCATTAAATATCAATTACCATCCATCTGAATGAGCAGCTCAGACTTGACTCTGCGACTTGCTTCATGCTCATCTGAGGTCCCTCTTCGACTGCAGATAGAATCTATCTCATCAATGAAGATTGTGGTTGGGGCGTAAAATCTAGCCTTTGTGAAAACATTTTAAAGGAATCAGTTGATTATCTCATACAACAGTCTTAATTTTTTAAAGTGCCACTTCCTCCTTCTAAAATCATGGTTAAAGAATAGAAGTTTCTCACTGCTTTAATGCCCCATTTGGTTATTGGCAGAGGTTAAATCAATCATTCATGTCCAAAAAAGTAAATTTCTAAATATAAAAGTTATATGGTTGTTGAAGTTTGAGGACTGATACACAGTAAATCACATTACTATTCTTTTGACTATTGTATTTGAAAATTTCCATAATAGAAAACACTTTTAAAAGATAAATAAATCATTAACCTCTTTTCTCAAATATGCATTCTTAAGTAACTATTACAAATTCCTTATGAAAAAGAACCAACTTTAATGATAGATCAACTGCTAACTGATTTTTAAAATATATATTAAAATAGACTTATGCTCAACAAGCTCATTAGTGATCCAGAAATGTCAATCACACCACACATATTTCCAAAGTCTCTTCTAGCTTCACTGGACAGGATGCCAAAGGGCCTTCCTTTTCCTCAATGCGGAAGGTACCTCAGAGACACATCAACAGTTCCAGAAACCCCAGCACCCCATAGCCTCTTAGTGTGTCAAGAACTATAACACTTTCCCTAGATGAATGGATCTAGATTATAGGGATATCATTGCTTATATCAACAGCCCTTTGAAATCTAAACATATCTCACTCACCATTTCAAACAACAGACGGACTAACTTCTCAGATTCACCTCTATACTTGGATGTCAGTGTAGAAGAGGAAACGTTGAAGAATGTTGTGCCACATTCAGTGGCAACAGCTTTAGCTAGCATGGTCTTTCCAGTGCCTGGGGGTCCAACCATCAGCACACCCTGAAATTTCAGAAGATGTAGTAAATTATTTATCATAGTAAAATGCTTTCTTATAACATATCAATGTACAAGGAAAATTTTTCTTTATCATTTTAGAGATTAAAAAAATGAAGACTGATTTCACAGAATGTCTCAAATCAGAAGTACTCAGACATGGGCTAAACAAAGGGTCTAGACAACAAGGAATCCTCTGATACATTTTGAAAGAACCTCCCCAATTTTCCTAAACCTGGCAGAGGATAAATATGCATAAGCTTAAATACCACTTAAGACTGACTGTTTTGTGTAAACAGAATGAAAATAAAACCAAAAAACCTATCTTCCACAATGCACTTAAAATATACAACATTTAATAAACAATAAAGATCCATTTATCAGTTAATACAGTAACTAAAATCTAGTGGTAATTCAAGCATAATCAAATTAGCTAGTATTTTATCAGTTTAATGTGCCAGGTAACAGCTTACATAAAATACTACTATATGGTGAAAGAGCCACTAAATGTAGACTAAAAACTAAACTAGTTATTTCTCACCTTTAAAAATAAGAAGAAAGGTATTCTTTAAAAACAAATCAATAAGGAGTAAAAATTATTTGAGAACATTAATCCTCTTGCCTTGAAGATTAAAGGATTCTTTTTTTAAAAAATTGTATTGTATTTTTTCCATTACCATTTATCCCCTTTATACCCCCGCCCCCCCCCACAGTTACCATACTGTTGTCCATATCCATGAGTCCTTTTTCCTTTTTGCTCGATCCCTCCACCCCATAACACAGCCCCCCAGAGCTGTCAGCCTGCTCTATATCTATGAGTCTGTCTCTATTTTGCTTGTTAGTTCAGTTTGTTCATTAGACTCCACATATGAGTGAAATCATATGGTATTTGTCTTTCTCTGACTGGCGTATTTCACTTAGCATAATGTTCTCCAGGTCCACCCATGCTGTCACAAGGGTAAAATTTTCTTCTTTTTTACAGCTGAGTAGTATCCCATTGTGTAAATATCCCACAGTTGTTTTATTCACTCATCTACTGAAGGACACTTGGGCTGCTTCTATATTTTGGCTATTGTAAAATAATGCTGCAATGAACATAGGGGAGCTTGTGCCCTTTTGAATTAGTGTTTCGAGTTTCTTCGGATACAAACAACAAGTGCTGGCAAGGATGTGGAGAAAGGGGAACCCTTTTGCAGTGTTGGTGGGAATGCAGACTTGGTGGGTGCAGCCACTGTGGAAAGCAGTATGGAAACAGCTCAAAAATTAAAACTGGGACTGCCTTATGACCCGGTAATTCAATTTCTGGGGATTTATCTAAAGAAACTCCAAACACTAATGGATTCTTAAACACTTAATTCACTAGCCATTTCTAATGGGAGCTCGGAAGCACAGCAGTTTGTGATCTTAAATTAATTCTGACCCACTTGTTGATTTAGTTTAATAAGCTGGGAATTTAAACATTACAAACTATGTGCACATCAAAGTGTCATAAACTAAATTCAGAAAGTGGCCAAATCCTTTCCTAGCTATAGAATGTTGACACCCAGAACAAACAGGGATCACCAGGATCTGAAACACTAGTTTTATTAAAAACTTTGTGTTTTGTAAGGAGCCTTTAACTGTGCATGAGAATGCTATTTTGAAAACTACAAAATCAGTCAAAGGTATGGGCACAGCTATAACCAAGTTCATACTTCTCTTTCTAATGTCTCCTTCCTTTTCCAACATTAGATATTGCACAGTATTTATACTTTGACTTTCTCATAACATTACTCATTTGATTATTTCTTCTAGTTCATTCTCTATTGGCCCTTTCCCCTTGGTATATAAACATACTTAAATACATTCCTTTTCAAAAATTCCTCTGTTTAACTCTACAAATCCTCTAGCTACTGTCTACCTCTCCTTGCCTTCTCAGCCAACCTTCTTAAAGAAATGGTTTAAGCTTACTGTTGCTTATTCCCGAGCTACAATCTGCCTTCTGCCTCTACTACTTCACTAAAAATATCTAATTTACTAATCCACCAGCCACTTTTCAACTAGAATGTTCTTCCTTTCTCTCTGACCTTTAATGTTGCTGATACTTGGTATTCAGTCCCTTCTTCCTGAAACCCTTCCTCCCTGAGTTGGTTCTGTGATACTCCCCCTTCCTGTTACTTCTCCATCATGACTATCTGCAGTGTGTTTAGGTCTCCTCTTCTCTCAGCCCTTGACATTCCCAAAGCAATTCTAAGTCTTTTGTGCTCCTTTCCCTTTATAAAACTTGAACAATTTCATCTACACACCTATTGTCAACCACCACTTATATCTAGCAATTTTAACTCAAACATTCTCCTAAGCTCCAGACCTCTATCTCCAATTACCTGCTGAGCATTATCTAATCTTGTTTCTATTTAAACCTTTTCCTTTTCTCAATTTCCAAAATCAGTTCATTGTACCTTACATAATAAATAATTTGGCTGGCCTTTTGCCACATTTCCTGAGAGGAAAACTCTAAATCCTTGGGATTTCCCAACTGACAGGAGTGTCTTTGTTGTCTATGCTGAACCCTGAAATTTTATGCTAATGAGTGACTCAGCATGGGGGCTGGCCTTTCTAGAAAAACCAACCATGTGATTAGAGGATGGAGGCTCTGGGGAGAGGAAGGGGGGACTGGAGATTAAGACTCATGGACAATGATTCAATCAATTATGACTATATAATAAAACCCCAATAAAAACTGGACAGTGAAGCTTAGGTGAGCTTCCCTATTGGCAACGCTCTATGTATTGTTACACATCCATGCAGTAGGCGAGTAAAGCATCTGGCTCCACAGGGAGAGGACACAGAAGCTTTAGTTCCAGCATCCTCCCACATCTTGCCCTATGCATTTCTTCCTTTGGCTAACTCTGAATGGCTTCCTTTTGCTACACTAAAACTGTAATCTTAAGTATAATGCTTTCCTAATTTCTGTGAATCATTCTAGAGAATTACTGAACCTGAGCGGGTAGTGAGAAGCCCCAAATTTACAGCCAGCTGGTCAGAAGTGGGATCCCCACCAAGGACCCTCACATTTGCAGCTGGCATATCAAGTAGGGCAGTCTTGTAGAAAACTGCCCTTAACTTGTAAAACCAGGCCCAATTTTGGGTAGTAGGTATTAGAAGTAACTGCATACTCCTTCACTTCAAGCCTGCAACTGGCAAGGCATAAAATTTGTCCCTCTCCTTTATCTCTATAAACTATCAGCCATAATGTTGTCACAAACCTCTTAAACATCTCTCATAAGTTCACCCATCTGCTCACTAGCCAAATAACAAATGCCTTAGTGCAGGTCCTCATCCTTGGGCTAGACTACTGCAAGAGCCTCCAGACCCGACTCCTCACCTATATGCAATCCATGCCCATCTCCGATCTATCCTCTACACTGCTGCCAAGGAGATCTTCCACATTTGCAAATCATCCTCCTGCTAAAAACGTACAGGGCTCCTTATGAAGGTAGGTTACACCTACTACTCCAGCTATTTTAAAATTCCTTTAAATACCTATTTTAAGACCTTATTCTCTTTTAAATATTGCTTTAGAAGTATAATAGAGGGAAAATGTATGGTAATATGTCCCCCAAATTAGGTAACAAACTCTACAACAGTCTTTAAAAGTATTTAAGTTGTGAAAGGCAATCAAAATGCTATGGGTGCCCCAGTTTTGTGTAAACAAGCAAGGATTGAGATGGGCATGGAGAAGAGAAACAGATCTTCCCAGTTAATTCAGAAGAGCAAAGTAAGATCATGCTTTTATTGCACTCTACCAGTAAGAGTAAAGGAAGACTCTGCCTATGCTAAGACCAAACTACATTTCGGGCAGCAGCTATTTAAAGGATTTTTCAACATGCTAACAGGAAAACTCTGGACTTAGGGGGAACTTGTTCTGGGTAGGCTTTAAACTCTAAGGCAGAAAGCAAACTAAAAAGAAACTGACTATGTCTGAGATTTATACCAAGTCTAGATGAAGTGATCAAAATAATCAGTGAGAAATATGCCAACTTTTGGAAAGGTATCTATTTGATCAAACTCTTATTCTCTAAGACTATGTGCTATTACTATTTAATTTGCTTGTTAACTTATTTACAGAAACAGACATCTAGAAAATTCTTAAAGCTAATCTCTAACTGAGCAACCCTGAGGGAAGTGACATAACTAAAGACTACAGACTATAGTTTCAACAGTCCAGATTCCTCTCCTGCCATGCAGAGGCTACACAACTCAACTACAAATTCAAATCCACAAATTTGGGGTGTATACAAACCTCCCCCAACCTTTGGTGTTAGTAAACACATATAGAAACTACAATGCTGTCTTTCATTATCATGCAAGCCACATTTTTATACCTATATTATTTTAATAAATTCTCACCTTCCATGGCCTTCTAATCCCTTTGAAGAAATCAGGCATCCACATTGGAAGAACAACAGCTTCCCTTAGCAACTTCTTAGCTTCTTCTAGATCTGCTATATCATCCCTTTGCAAGAACAGCAAAGTTTCATGTTTATTCAAGAATACCTTTGACTGATGGTCAATACCAGTTCTTTTAATTTTGTTACTTATGTAATTATTTTGATATTAAGAACATTATTTTAATTCTTACTGCGTAAAATTTTATCAGATCAAATAACATTCCAGTTATTAATTAGAACATGTTATTCAATTAACAACTTCTGTCAGTTATGTCAACATCAAATTAGCATGTAAAGTATCTTAGTTATATTTTGAGAAAAGGACTGTCCTGTCAATTCTATGCACTCATATTATGGATGAAGTCATAAACAGGAGAAAATGGTTAAAAGGGAAGACTCATACCAAGCCAACCTGTAATTTAATTTCTCCACTACTTTAATTTAAGAATTTAAAAGATACTAACCAATGAATGCTAGGATTCCTGGACACAATGTCTCTCTCAAGGGCTTCCACCAGATCCTTATCATATCCAGCACCATCAAATTTTGGAATTTCACCATCGCTCATACCATCTTGTGTATTTTTCCTTCCCTGGGAACAGGTATTTAAAAAAGTACTGGTCAAAAACAACGTAACTTTAATTAGCATCATTAAACTATAAAAATATAATGTAAACATTTTAAAAATAACTTTTGGTTACTTTTAAGATAGTGTTTTCTGATTACCCAAATGCCATCCTCTCCTTTTCAATTCACCAGGAACAGATGAACTGGCCTGCTTTAGTATACATGTCTTCAAACTTACATTCCTGGGGGGAGCGCCACAGGTAAGACTAAAAGGATCCTTGCAAAATACCTCTGAATTGGTGGATATAGGGGATTTCCACCACAGCCAGAAAATATTGAGAATATTAATGCAGAGAAAGAAAGAGAATTCAGTTACTGAAAACCTACTACACAGCAAGAAATCTCACATTTATCACCTAATTTAATACAACCACAATGTGAATATTACTATCCTAACTTTTTACAAATATGGAACTGAGACTCAAAAAATATTAAATAACTTAATCAAGTTCAAAATTATTAAATATCAGAGTAGAGATTTTAACTCAGGTTGCCCTGACACCCCAAACCCATGCCCTTTCCACAGCATTGGATCCCCTGGCTGAGCCAGCTTAAAGCTTAAGAGTGGTGGTGTAACTATTACATCCTCCAGAGCATTCAAGAAACAGGATGTAGACAAGAAAAGATTTGGGTCTGAACTGTATCTCACAAAGCCTTTTCCCTGCTACTGTAAGTACCCCATCAGGATTCAGTTTCTTCCTAGCAAAGTCCTTGGGCCACACCATAAAGTCACTGAAATGACAATGGTAAAGGACCTTTTTAAACAGTATTATTAAGACCATTAAAGCAATATACCTACTCCAAATTCTTTATCTAATAATATGGTGTGTTTTTTTAAAATGCATATGCTATAGTTCTGTGGGGTTCTGCCAAGATTTACTGAACTTTGAAGAGCTTTAAATGAAACATGCTTAGTTGCCAGAGATAGTTCAGCTACTGGAGCTGCTTTAGCAGACGGAGCCAAGCACCTCCCCAGAACTTCAGACTCGCCATTACTGCCTTATGCAAAAATAAAAGTGGAAAACAGTAAAAAAAAAATAAGTCAATTTCCTGAGCTTAATTGAAGAGAGAGAACAGGATGACCCTCTTCCACCACACATACTTCATCAGAGATAAACCATAGCTGAGAAGGGACTAAATGGCTCCCTTTGGCAGATGCTCTAGTTCTTTAAGACACCAGGTGAATCACCAAACAGTACCTTAGTGATTTGACCAAAAAATGAATCATTTACTGTTTATGGGTAGCATCATGGCTACAGTATTAAACTAAATTTTCAGCAAGATTATTATATTTCAGATGCCAGACACCAGTATGAAAAGGAGCAAAATTTCTGACATATCTACATAACATATATAACATCAACCAATTTAAAATAATCTCATCCTAGAATCATATTTTATAATACACACGGCCAAGGCTGTGTGTATTATAGTCATACTCAAACAAATCACTGGGAACACTCTGTGATCATTCTAAAGCTTTCTAGAAATAAATCAACTAAAAGATGCAACAGAAACTGATGTATCTGGGACTTAACTAGCCTTCAAGTGGCACAGTAATTTGAGACTTACCAAAAAATTAGTATTAAAAAAATGTAAGCACACAGCCATTTTAATATGAATATTCAAGTGGTAGGGAGGACTTGCAAACACTGCCATGGAAAAGGAACAGCTGGACAGTTATCTGAAAGTAGTCGAAATCACAAGATTTTAAGAACAATAAATACGTGAGCATCCATGCCTGGCACATTTTATTAAGCATTAGGTTTTAAATCAGCAAATGAAAATAATTTATCTTCCCTCATTGAGTATCTATCTTGTGGGGAAAATAAGTAACAAGTAAACAAACCCAAAACACACAGAATTATAAACTGTGAAATGCTATGAAAACACTGAGTAGTCAGTGTGGCTAGAAGGAACAGGTTATAAAGACAGGCAGAGGCCAGCTCACCTGGGCCCCCAGAGGCCCTGGGAAGGGGTGTGGAATTATTATTCTGAGTGCATGGGAAATTTTTGAAATGTGATGAGCAGGGGAATGACAGGATCTGCTTTACATTTTTACATGGCCCTCTGGCTGCTGTGTGGAAAGATGGGTGAATGGAAAAGTAGAAGCAAAGAAATAAAAGCCTGTTGTAATACTCAAGGACAGGCTTCTCCATCCACAGACGCAGAAATTTGGGAATAAGCCAGTCAATTTACGGGCCTAGAATTCAAAGTTCCTCAGAGGTAAAGATGAGACATGAATATAAATTAAGACCAAAGAAGATTCAAGGGACTTTTTCAAATAAAAATAGTGATAGTGAGGTTATTTTTTAAAAAATTAATTTAGGAAAACTAAAAATAAATAATTAATATGCTTACATTGGGAAATCAACAAAATGGGTGACAATTATCCTCCATAACAACTAGATGAAGTGGAATAGGGGTCTCAAATTAAGTGACTGAGGTTGCAGTTAACCAACATGCTGGAGTAACGACAATACCTAAAAGAAGCATTTTTCAGGCGATAAAGCTAACCTCATCCTAGATATTACTTGTGCAGTTTATACTAGTAACACTAACTGTGATGTCACTGAAATGATCTTAGAATTCTGTGCTTAAATTTCCACATTGACAATAAGGTCAACATTGGAAAGAATTTGACATTTAGCATAAATATTGATGTATTTTTTTATTATTAAAGCAAAATATTTTAGCTTTTTACTAATATCTGAATTTACCCATATCAAGAAAGGTTTGTTAATGATCTTCCATTAGTAATTTAATCATTCTATTCGAGACGAATAGTGCTAAAGTTAGCAACTAACCCAATACTACAGTCAATTAACAACCCAGTTGGCCTAAAAGGCCAATTATTTTTCATTTTATTTTTGTTCCTCTTATCTTTGGCAGATGAAGCACAATGTGGTCAGTCACTAGCTCTAGATCTTGCATTTCAAGAGAAATACTGACAAGTGAATTATACCCAGAGAAGGATGGAGGATGATCAAGGGTTTGAAGCCATGCCACATCCAAAGGACCAAAGATACCACAGATATTTAAGCTGCAGAAGAAAATACTAATGAAGCAACACACAACCAACTAACCTGTTTACCTCTATTTATTCTATGTTCCTCCAAAGGAAAGAACCAGGACTAATATAAAGCAACAGCAGAGGTAAATTTCAGATCATCAAAATAAGTTTCTAACAGTGATTTCTGTCGAACAAAAGAGTCATCTCTCTTGTTAGGTAGTAAGCTACCCAACATCAGAATTTCAGACTAGTTAGTAATTACTGGCCCACAGTCATTTTTATTACTAACTAGGGATGTACAGGCTTACTTATAGTTGACCTTTGGTTCTTTCTATAAAGCTACTGCCTCCACTTGCCCACTTATTCATCTGTTTCAATAGCCCAAAGAACATGCAAAATTTCTTGGATATCTCATCATTTCTCTTTTTTAAAAAAAGTGATCTGCATTCTGTATCATGTCTGTGTTAGTTCCCCACTTTCCTGTTACCTTATAGCTAACACTTAAGCACTGCCTACTCTGTGCCAGGCACTGTCCTCAGTGCCTAATGTAACCATTTTAAAGGTCCTATGAGGTAGGGGTTCTTATTATTTCCATCTCATACCTGAGAAAAGTGAAGTACAGAGAGGTCAAGTAAATTGTTCCTGGACACACAGCTAGAGCCTAAGCAGTCTGGTTCCAGAATCAGTGCTTTCAACCACTTGGCACACAATGACATCCTGCTGCACACTGTGCACTACTCCTACTCCAGTGTGCACAGCACACACAGGAAAAGTTAGACAAGATCTCTAAGCTGCACACCACTCTAACACTTTACTATTTCACAAAAGAAAAACAGGTTGATAAATGCAAAATAGAGCTTTCCTAATTTCAGTGCTGTGCCCTGCACTGGAGTGTTAATACAAAATACAGTTACACTGAAATAATAAATCCACAGCATTCTTCAATCTTTCTCAATATATGTGTTCTTTCAACAATATGTGCAAATACTTACTATGTGGCAGATACTACTCCAAGTACTGAGAAATAACTACGAACTAGACAGACAAAAATCCCTGCTCTCATGAGGCACACAGTCACGTGAGGGAACACAATACATAAATAAGTAAAACAATTAGGAACAGAACAGTGAGTAACTAACTACTAGATTAGATTATAATCTAATAAGAGGAAAAAACAAAGTCAAAGCAAAAACCAATGCTATAAATGAGCTGCCATCAGAGAATTTGTGGAGTGATTTACCATATAAAGGACAGAATAAAGTATGTCTTACAAATAAATCACTGATAATACAAATGGCCAATAATCACATGAAAGATCTTTCAAGCTCGTAAATTATCAGGTAATTCACAGTAAGAGTTAACATGCTGGTTAAATCACAATGAGATATGATTACAAACACAAGAGACAGGCAATATCAAATGTGGTGAGGATGTAGAGCAACAAGAAGTTTCATACTCTGCAGGTAGCAGTGGAAATCTGTATAATCCCTTTGGAAAACTACTGGGTGTTATCTACTACAGTTTAACAATACATATCCTATGAGTCATCTATTCCACTCCTAGGTATATGCTCACTAGAAATGCTCACACGTTACACCAAAGGAGAGCATAAAACTACCCAAAGCAACATTACTAATAATAGTTCCAAACTAACAGCAATTCAGATATCCATTAACAGTAAAACAGATTAACTGTGGCATAATGCTATATATCGATGAAAATAAACAAACTTCAGATATATGCAACAGCATAGAAGAGTCTTTACACATGTTGAACAAAAAAGCCAGACCGAAAAGAATACTTACTGTACACAGTTTCAAAACAGACACAACTAATTTATGGTATGAGAAATCAGAATAAGGTTACTTTGGGGAGGAAGGGGTAAGACAGTGTTTACTTTGGGGATAAAGTGGCCAGGACTGGGACATAGTTACATATTTACATGGTAGTTA